TGTATTCAAATCTCATTCCGTCCACGTTAAACTAAACATATAAGAGCACCATGTTCCAGTTCGCGGGTCCTATTGGCCAGCGGGGCATAAATGCTTGGGCAGGTAGCGACTAGTAAATAGAAGCTTGGATCGAGTGCCCATATTTATGTTTTAAGGCGGATTAAATAAGGTTTCAACATATTATAGGTATCACACCTGCTATTAAATAAGTTAAAGTGTGTTGGTCGTTTGAGGATGAATGCACATTTGAAAGCAATATTATTATTTAAAATTAATAGGACTTACATCATACCAGAAGAGTTCTGATTCTATCTGTAGTCAATCTTCTAAATTTTATTGTGAAGTGGGAAAAATAATTACGGTTGTCATATAGTTTCCTGAGGAACAAAAACAAAGCTTTCAACTCCTGTACTGCCGACGATGTCTAAAACTGTTTTGTAATTTGCAATTTATCGCAACACTTAAAATCCACAATAGTTGTCCTTGCTAAGTGAAGCAATTACATAAATTAGCATTTTTTGGATAAACGAAATACCCAATGTAGTATTCAGAACACACGAAGCACTATTTTATGTAACATGCTACCGAACTAGAATGTAAATCGCCTTTCTGGTCAAGTCAGCAAACAAAATTGATTGCGCCACTGATAGAAATCATTTATTTTCAGGCCGTGATACACCTCAATGATGTCATTTATTCATGAAGAATTCGCGTTACAGTTTTATTCATGCACTGATTTTTTAGCATGTTGGACTGAGACATGGCAAATAAAAAAGCCGCTAGATAATATGGTATATCAACGCAATTTTGCTCCCGGTAGGCAGCGGCAGTCTGGTTAGGGGTCAAACTCTCAAAAGAAGCTTTTTGACCTTTTGACGTCTATCGCCGATTGACAATTGACATCGTAACCGAGTTATCATAATCAAGTCCAAAGTAAATAACCAAAATTTCTGTGTTATGTAACGCGGTTATAATATGGTTTAAGATGACACACGGATTGATGACGTCAGTTACTCGAATCACTTCAATGCGTTGGTTTTAACCACGGTTTTGTTGCAAGCTGTTTGTTTTAGAAAAACGCGTATATAATTTCTGATTATTTCTATGATCACTTAATAATTGGTGCTTTTTCGTGTACAACAGTGTATGGAAAGTTTAAAAAAGAAACCTTTCATAATATTATAGTCAAATACCAGAATTGATGACAGTAGCAGAAGTCTTCGTGCGCCACTGCTTTGACGCTGTACCTTTTGATTACAGCGACGTTTACCGACATTTCACAAAGACGCGCCGCATTTTCAAAGGCCTCCGCGCAATAGCAGTGACGTACGATGAATTTCGCTACTGTCATCAATTCTGGTATTTTACTTATAATGGGAGAAATGTTTATTTTTTTCAGAAAATACTTTTTAATGATGGAACCATGGCTTTGTATCTATGATAACTTTCAATTCTCTAAACTTTTCCGTATGACAAGAACACATTTATCGATTTAGCAGAAATGATAGTAAAAAACGATGAAAAAAGATATTAGCAAAACCGTATACATTATCCAGTGAGTTTATATTGCCATATTTAGCTATTATTGTGGTATATGGCTACACAGGATACTTTGTTAAGCATAGGAACTAGATTTAAAGTGTCCCCAACAACAGTAATGAGTATAACTAATAATGTGCGCTACTTTATGCTACAACTGAAGTCAGCCTGAAGTACAACAAAAATATCCAATACCCGCCAAAATTCTAAATTGTCACATTTCAAATAATAACCAGAAATATAAAATTACTCCTGAGTTGGGTAAATACCACAATTTTGCGGTGATAACTATGACATATAACAGCTGATTCATGACGTCACGGATCTTATAACCAAACTGATAACCACACTCGCTTGAACTGATCGGTAAATACCAATTCAAAATGGTAAATACCATTTTTATTTTGGTTATTTGCTTGAATTTGATTAGTATCAAGTTCTCTCAAACCTTGTACATAACCGACCTAACTGACGCCATCTACTTTCCTTACCCCCATTTCACATTTCTTGACAGAAGCAAGTCACCGAAGTAATAAAATGAATCTGTCAAATGTCAAACCGCTGGTATTTTGCGGTTTCACCAGTACCACAGATGTCATACATACAAATGCGACAGTGACTGTTGGCACTCGTAGTAATTTTTTTCTCAATCAAAAAATGAATGGTTGTGCCCAAGAAGAACTCTCCTCATATCAAGTATATCGTCAGTCTCCGCACGTGCAAGCGTAAATGACAAATAATCTAAAATCGAGTTACGCCGTAATTTCACAGATTTTTTTGTAGTTTCTTACTTCACGAAGTGACGTAGCTGTATATCAGTTCGCTGCTAAGAATTAAATTTTTTTTCAGAAAATTACCTAAGTTATAAAATTCCGAAACTATTTTTACGTACCGGCTTAAATAGATTTACGCCTCTGCGTTAAAGCTAGTTCTACATCACTTTAGTGTAACAAAGAGAAACAGCAACGTTCAGACTGAAAAATCAGTATGTCACTTTCAATCTCATTTATTGCTGATTTTCGTTTTCTAGCTCTCCTGTGAAATTTGTAAAATGTCAGTTACGCCGGGTCGTGCGGAGACCGACGATATGATACATAAAATACTAAGTGAACTTAACGTTGATGATTTTTAGAGAAAAACAGTCCCAATGTTATTTTTTTTGTTGCGTGACCTTTGTTTTCAAAAATTATTGCTTGAAATAGTCATAGTGACTCTGACGCAAAGTCTACCAAGCGCTTCGTGACTGTCGCATGTGGTAGTACTCTTTCAATAGCACGAAGTATACAACGTACACTCTGGTGAAAATGGATCGCACAGACAACATTTTTTTGACTCCATTTTGAGGATTTTTTGTCACGCATTCGGTATCAGCTTCAATTCACCTGTCTAATTTCTTGACGATAATCCCGGTCTGGCTAGTTGTACAGGGTAAATTTAAATAATGTTTCATTACCCTATCTTTGAAACACTCTGTGGTGGTTAATCAGAAAGTTTTCAGCAAAGTATATTAAATTCGGTAAACGTAAGTAGTGCAATAATTTAGACCAGCTAGCTGACTTCTATATATGACAATCTATCGTGGGCTACTCCACTATTCATCTGGGGACAGGATCCCGGACTATTATTCACGCGCTTATTTTTTTGCATGACGGCAATTCTAGTTCAGAGAAAAATTTATTGCAGTTCATGGTAATACGTAAGATTAACGAGTTCCTTAATGATCGATTTGATCATTGTTTGTATTGTATAATAAATGGATTTGCAACTAACTACTATAGACTAATGTTGAATAAAAAATTTATTGTGCAATAAAATACCTGTCATTCGTTATTATTTCTTATTAAGACTTAGTTTAGAAGTATCATGGTCTAAAAATATCGAGACACGAGACCACTATCACTGGCATGCAGACTTGAACAGTATTCGAATACTCGGTATTCTGAATTTGTGTGTTTGATATTCGACTGAATACTTTTTCGGTCAGTAGTCGGTATTCTGGATTCTGAATATCAGTTGTATTCAAATCCCGGTATTCGAATCCTGTTTGGCTATTGTTATAAATATTCGAGATGGTTGTGGATGGCACAAACAAAATAGCCCCGCACAGTTATTTTGTTTGTGTGGGCGTTGGGGTTTCCGAACTCGTAATGCCGTCAAGTTGTTTATGGAACCAGATTAGATTACGTACGCACTTGTGCTTGTGCAGTATTGTCATTCTATCTCATAATTTAATTAAATACCTATTATAATTTGTGTGTGATACCAGATAAATTAGATATATAAAAAGGAAAGTATATTTTCTTATTGTTCTATTAGATTTCTAAAAAAAATTTATTAAAACGCAAAGAATGTTTTTCATTATACAATTAACGTCACTGTGACACTATGTAACAAAATGTTATTTTAAGTTCTATTTAATAAAGTCATGTATTTTTAATTCTTTTATATATTCTTACTACTTAAGTACATAAATAAAAATCTAGTTCAAACTGAGCATATTTTTTTTGTTGGAATATTCAAAAAGTGCTGATTTTTGAATGAATCCAGGTATTCAAAACAGTGGTATACAATTTAAAATACAATATTTAGGATTCGTATTCGATTACCGGATTTCAGTATTTGACCCAAGTCTGTTGGCAAGCAAAATGCAGATTCCATTTCTGGCTTTTTCGGCCGATATTTATTTCAAACACCGACCGTCCACCTGTCTGTCTGCAAATTTAGGCCCATCTTTGAAAAATACCTCTTAGATCTTGGTTTAATATTTAAGCCAGGCGAAATTAAGAAAATCGATCACCAATAAAAGATTTAGGACGAAGATTTTCTTCCACAGACGTTCTCATTACCGCAATTTGAAATAATACCAGTATTAATAATTAATATATAGACTTGATTCCTTGGGGCAATAACTGCTTCATGTCGTCTCATCTCACAGCCCAGAGTCTCAGCCTTTGCCCTGCCTTAAGGTAACTTATTTACTCGTGTGATGAACTCAAAACTAACTTTAAAAGAACGAAGATCGACAAGACTTGTCATTTCCTGCTTGCGAAGACCTCGATCTTTTAAAAATATGTGGACACCATGACTGTTTTTTTGATCAAACAACTTTATTTATTTATGTATTTATTTAGCAACATATAATAGAAAAAGCTCGCGTAGGAAGCCTTCTAGATAAAGCTACCTTTATGTCTGTAACTTCGATCTGAACAGTTTAATGTAACATCTGAAAGTTATCCTGCCTCTTTCATGCCTATAGAACTCCATGCCATTGTTATGTCCTATCAAAAAGGCCGAAACGCCAATAAGAGTCATTTCAAGATCTGTGGTTTTATTTGATAAGATAAACCTGGAGTTCTATCTAAATGGTTTGCTGAAATATTCCATGGAAAGTTTATACTCCTCATTTCTGAAGCTACGGGCATTGACAACCTCATGGGTACATCAGAAATGCAAAAATCGACGTTTGGTATTTCCCTTTATTTCGTTACATGTGATGCTACCAAAACTTTAGTATACAAACATCTACAAATTCTATAATTAGGTATATTTTTCCTTAAACAATGCGTAATGTGGCATTGGGACACTCCCGCTCAGATCCGTTGACTTTACCAAGAGCTTAGTTTCTTCTCTCTCTTTGATGATTTGTTTCAGTTTCTCTATCTCCTTTTCATGCTGTCCCTTCATAGTATCAATGAGATGAGCTTGCTCCTGGATCGTGTGCTCAACGGTTGTTAATTCTTGTAGAGCACTCCTCTGAACATCCTACAAAATATGTTTTATAACTTTGCAGAAGAGCATTCCAGGCAGCCTACGAATACATTGTCATAGGTTTGTACAAGTGTCATCTATTACCAAAATCGCCAACTGCAAGAGTGAATAGCAACTATTTCAGTTCGCGTCGAAAGCCCAGATCACTGTCACTGCTTGATTCCGTCGATTCTGGCGATATCTACTCTCCAAATAGTATTGCTCCTGTCTGTCTCTCAGTCGGTCAGTTAGTCAGTCAGTCAATCAAGTCTTGGTCTCTAGGTAGGATAAGGAGCGAAAGCAGAGCAAATACGAGCCCCTTCCCACTTCAGTGGGCCCACTTCAAGATTCGTACCAAAATATGACTTTATAAACTAAACATGACGAAACTATTTACTTCTAAAACAATTTATTTTCTCAAAAACATTTTAGATACACTCTAGTCGTAAAAAATACATATTTTAAATCACTTAGACCTATAACTAATAGAACATCTGAACAAATAAACAATGTGCGAATAAATGCGCGAAGTTAACAAAGCAACAATTGAAAGATTCGGGTAACATCACCTTTATTTTTTATTACGGCTGAAATTCTTTGGGGCATAGTGTTAACCAAGTTTTGGCAAACATTCAGTGTAAAACAGTCCCATATTTCTTGAAGCTTTTGTCTCAGTTCGGTGATTGTACGAGCAGGATGTTGTCGTAGAACCTTTTTCATCTTTCCTGCCACAAAGTTTCAATGGGTGACAGATCTGGACTGCTAGAAACCCATTTCAAAAGTGGTACATTATTTTCTTCCATCCATTTTATAGTCTTTTTTGAGGTATGGCACGCAGCACCATCTTGCTGAAACACAAAATCTTGGCCGGATGTCAAACATTCTTCCATCACTGGCAAAAGCGATTCTTCTAAAATTGCCAAATATTTGTTTGTATCCACATTTTCATCAATAAAATAAAGTTTTCCTACTCCTTTTGATGACATACTGCCCCAGACCATAATGGATGCTGGAAATTCCACTTTTCTCTTCAGACAGTCAACATGGAATGCTTCATTTTTTTTGCGAATAACTCTACTGCGACTGTCACCAACACAAATTTCGAATCGGACCTCATCACTCCATTGTATTGCACACCATTGTTGACGTGTCCATTGTCTATGTTCTTTAGCCCATTTTTCTTTTGCAGTGGAGTTAGTAGTGGCTTTTCTTTGGTCTATAAACAAGTTGTGCAATTTTAGGGTTTTTACTTCACTTTTTTTTATAAGAAAACTTACCTTGCAAGTGCTAAATCCCAGTTTGTGGGCCTCTCTATGAGTTGTGGACCTCGAAATTCTCCTTCCAACAGCGTCACTCCACAGAGCACTTAATTGTAAATAATTGGCACGCCTGTTTTTCACGATTATTCTTCTTAATGCTCTTCGGTCGGCATTTGTGATATTACCGTTTTTCACATATCGTGGCTTAATATTAACTGAACCAGTTACGTTATATCTTCTAAATATTTCTCACACTGTACCGCGATAAGTCTAACAAAGTTGCAACTTCTGCGTTTGATTTCCCAGAATTAAAAAAATTAATTATCAGTAACCAAATATTCTCACTAATGTCCTTTCCTCTACCCATTTTGAAAACCTTAAATACTCAAAACTATTTTAAACGTATTCTGACAGCTGTGATTAATAAAAACAATTGTCAGGGCTTTTATTTTTCACAGCCACCTATGCGTTATAGACTTATTTTGCATTGAAACGAAAATAGGATGATATGCTGTAATTGCAACATGTGCTATTTTTATGCTGCAAATTTGATTAGGGAGTGATAAAGTTGGAGTTTTCTACTACATATTATCAAAATATTCATTGTTAATATTTTAAACCTATAACACCCTGCTACACTGTTATTATTTGTGTTTGATAAGAAAAAACTAAGATTTCAATAGTTGGGCCAACTGAAGTGGGAAGGGGCTCGTAATCCTTGAAAGTATAAGGCCTTTCAAAATGCGATAGCATCAATCCCATATATTAGCAGAATTTAGCACTGCCAGAGTGACCGGCTGCTGTCTGTTGGAACTGTAGAGGTACCTCAGCTCGAGTCGAAAGTAGTATGTAAGAAACCTATAAAAAAAATATAAAATGTCTTCTTGCAGAGTAGGTATTCCTTAGGATGCAAGCAGTCATTCCACGTTTGCTCCATAGGATCGTTGTGGGCGTCCATCTATGGAAGAGTAGCTCAACTACACGCATTGTTGGTTGCATATGTTTTGTGAAGTCAGGCAGTATGTGGTTATCATCACTGAGAAAAAAGTTGGTTGAATAGCAAGATCGCATCTGGATTATTACGTGTATTGGTCTGCCTTTGTATAAAATCAGTGATATTTGCTGTGTGAGAAAATCATTACTGAATATGCTAACCAATGAAGTTTATTTATTAGCTGCGTCCGACGGGTTATTTAAATGTTGTCCTTTCTGAAGGCAGGTTATGTTCAAAGTTATAAATTACGACTTTTTACGTTTTTTATGTTTTCAAAAGCTCTGAGGAGAATTACGGGAAATCACCAACGCTCCCGCGTTGTGTGTAATTACTCTTAGCATGTATGTGACTTGTAATTCGACAGAGTACAGTGAATATAATTATTTATCTATATTTTTGAAATTCAGCAAATTTGCATATTTAATTTCCAGGATAAGAAAATCTGGATGCGCAACTATTTTCCAGCTTTGAATCTCAAGTAAGTGTATTCAATGGAAGTATCATCAACACCTATTATTAGCACACAAATCCTCACTATGCACCTATGCATTGCCGTCTCCTAGCTGTAGTATAATACAACTTACAGCTTAGACCTCCAGTAATGCCATCTCTGAAGCAGATTTTATATCACATCAGAGCCAAACATTGATAACTAAAACTTCATGATGTTTAGGCTACACGTACAACTACAAAACGAGTTTACAAGAATCCATCAGCTAGTGCTAAGTTAACATCTTGTAGAGAAACGTACATAATGTCACAAAAAAACAATACAATGTCAAAAAGATCGACATAATGACACTTTTCAAGATACGTAATACCCGTGCCGGTCATCACTATGCATTATTAGTTTTCAGTGGCGAGTAGGCTACGCCAAAATCGACGGCACCAAGCAGTCACAGTTGCAAGAAATAAAAATATAAACATCAAAAATGACTGTTGAATTTACCTTAGATGTATCTCAAATAATTTGTACAACTAAGTAAGACGGGGTAATTATTACTTTCTCAGTCCGTTTGTTTCGATGAGCAATATCTAGTTCCTGGCACTCCAAACTTGACATTAAATAAAATGACCGACTAGCTTAAAACCAACCAGCCTACGGACCTCCCTGACGAAAAAGGACCATGATTCGTTTTGGGATAGTAAATACATTCTTTCTCTGCCTTTTTTCAAATTTCCACCTAAACATGTTCTGAAATTACTTCAAAATGTGAAAATCAGCAGCTCACCCGAAGTTGACTTTTAACGTGTCCATCCTAGCGGCAGTGTCCGATCCAATCTTTTTCACAGCTTTATTTTCCAAATTCCTTTGATTGAGAGCTGTTAGCAGCGTTTCTTGTTCTTGAACCAGCTCTTTGGCAAAACACATGGCTTTGTGCAACTGTTTTCGCAAAGCGCTTCGGGACAATTGTACTTGATTCAAAATATGCTCTAACTCTAGCTGTTTTGCTTCCAGTTTCCTGAAAAAAATTTCACTTTTGCAGTAACGAAAGCTCGTAAACATTAAGTGAGTCAATCTGGATGTTTACATCCACCAATCGATGAGCTTCCACGAACCTTGATATGAAATCTCTATACAGCCAAGAAATAGATTTTCAGAAAAATTCAGTTTTGGTTGTAAACGTAAATTTCAGTTTCGTGAACACTTATTGAGTTAGTTATGGCCAAGAACAAGTGATCCACGTATTAGCCCCCTAAGAATTACTGATGGTTACGTAAGGTCTGATATAATACAGGGTGAAGTGGCAATATTCCTAGGGCATAAACCCGATAAATATGAAAAATTCATATAAACGTGTAACCTAAAATGCTGAAATTATAACTTTGGAGGAAAAAGTTATATCTTCGGAGTGGGTTAAGATTTTGTACATATGCTACTGAAATCATAATTATACACAAAAAAATGTAATGCTCGAGGCTGTACCCATGACGCAGAAATACGTTAATTTTGACCGCTTAAAATAAAAAACAAATTTTTTATACACTTACTTTTTCGAACATGTATTACATTTTTGAATATCAGGTACTATTTAATTTAGATGAATTGCCTCTTACGATAAATTTTCGTCAGTCTACTGCTTTTGCAAAAAAAAACGGTTTGAGTATTTGAGGTAAAATCATTATATAAAATTTCGAACCATTCTACTTTGACAATACGTTCGATATTGAAAATTATATGTAGTGTATTAGGAGAGTAATCCTAACCCACCATAGCATTAGTTGAGCAATGTCTATGTTCTGTTCTTTCTCAGTCTCACCAGTGGCGTAAAAATTTACAACACCCTGGTAATGAGACATCTTGGGACCTATGTTTATGTGAGCTAGTTTTGTTATTTTTGAATGTATTTTCTACCCTATGAATACCGCAACGTTTTTCTGAATCTACCCTGTATATATTTTTTATTCCTCCGTAACAAATGTATTAGGCTTTTCAATTGCTTTGGGTTTAATCATTCAAGTCTCATATGACGTAAATATATTTACGTTCCACAAGAATTCCAAAGGGATTAAATTTGATTTAGAAATAACTCGTCGTTTTGAATAGGTGATATAAAGCTCGATTAAAAGATGCCTAACTGTTGAAGTGCGAAGTGTCTAATTTGAATAATATATGTATAATACGCATTTTTACTAAGAACAGTTAATATGCTCAAATTACCATTTTTAACCTATAAACATTAACTACCGCAACGTTCCACTTAAAATTCATACCAAAAAAGGTAATTTATTTTTTGTCTTGATGAATATTCATGTTATCGATTCGCAATTTCGGACATCTAAGACATAAATTATGATAGAATTATATAAAATGCTAAATTACTTAATGTGTTTTTCCAATTGACCGGTTTTGGTTTCGTAGTCTTGCTTCATTTTTTTCGAGTTATCGATTTCATCGTTCAAACTTTTAATTGTTTTCACGTGGTTGTCGATAGTGGTGAACAATTTTTCTTTTTCCTTTTCGTATTGTTGCTTCAGTTCTTCATACCATCTGAAACATAAGCCCAGTAAAAAAATATTTTTGTTTTCAATTATGCTTAACGAATTATTCCAACATTCACTATGTGATATAAAATATAGGATCAAAATGTGGAAAATTCAAATTTTCTGGCACGAATTTTCAATCTCGAAACGATATCGCCCCTAAACAAAAAAGTGTACTCAGAACTCAGAAGTTATGAACGTTGTCAGAAAAGAAACGGTCAATTTTTTTGAATCCCTCTTTGCTCTAGTAAATTGTTTATTTATTTTAGACAAAATTTTACGTCTAGACTCGAATTGGTTTGAAGAGTCTAGGAAGTATATATACAATGTATATGGTCACGACATACCGATATTTGAGGTGGATATTTTTCAGCTATTTTTATCGACAAATCCACAATGTCCTACCTCACCCCCCTTGAAATAGATCCTTACCGCTGCGAACGAAATTAGGGCTGACACGGATATGGTCTGCTGCTCAACACGTCACATTGTTTTAAGAACAACAGTGTGCATGACCAATAATGGAGGACATTTTGAACAGCTTCTGTAACATTAAACATGTCCAAACTCTCTATAAGAAACATTGATTTGTCATTTTTATGTATAAAAAGTTTGAAAAGAATTTGCATTCTATTACACCCATTTTGACCCATGTTAGATAGCGTGTATTGCTTAACGTAGAATACTTAGGATAACAAAAAGCTGTAGAATTAGCACAAAAAAGTACAACTTCACAAACTAGTTTTCGAATGGTGTGCGGAAATGCACAACATAATCAATTTTCTTCCATGTTTTTTTCTGTTTTTGTCTGTTTTTCAGTATGTTTGACAGTTAGTATCAAAACAAGTTTTTCAATAATCGCTAGGACAATATGACATCGTTCAAATGACACCAAATTTATCATTCTGTGACACTTACGTACTCATACATGCACTACCGTAATCGTAACGTAAAAATAAACATGGCTACCATTTCAATGGGGATGAGCTAGGATATTACTGGGGGGTGGATTTGTCGACAAAAATTGCTGAAAAATACCCCTCTTAAATATCGATATGTCGTGACCAAATACATTGTATAGTATATGGTGTTTTACGGATTCCACCCATTGTCAATGAAAAGAATGATGTCATAAGAAAAACAGTTTTCAAAAACAAAACAGGCAATTAAAATTTGAAGTCTGATTCTTCCATCATTGGAACTAATTTCGATGTCGCCTTGCCGTCCAAGATCCCAGGGCTGCTAGAAACTACTTTTTTTCTGAAAGGCACACTGTGGGATAATGAATAGCAATTCTGTGGACATGTTTGGCTATTGTTACCTAGTGAATCAGTGTCATTTTCACTACTCATTAGCAAAGTTTTTTGGTCTTAAGACACGATAGTTTTCTTAGGTTCCATACTTTTGTTTGACGTGTCTGTACAAATTAATCATAAGTCAAACTGGATGCCTTTTTCTCGATTTCATGCTAGGTGCAGATACCCCATCTGCCCTTAGCACTGCAAAAGTGAGAAAAGATCAGTAAAAATAAAGACTTACTTTACTTAAACTCTGATGGACGATTTTTTTATATATCATGAATAATATTATATTTAAGTAATATTCAGCATTGACAGCATTTAGAAAAAACATACAACATACGTTATGGCGTCTGACATAAAATTTTTCAAGCAATGTCTTGTTTAAAGCATCGGGTAGTTATGGCCACCGGGAAGTGTCTGGTAGTGCTGAATACCACTCTGTAATAATATTTTAATAAGTATATACAAAAATAACCAATAAACTTTATACTTCCTACGCCTTCGATGGAGGTTTCACAGCTTCAAAAGAAATTAGAAAGTCCTTTCAAAAGGCGGAATCTGATCGTGACTGTGTAGGTTCTTTTAAGTAGGATGAATCTTCGACCTTTACATATAAAACTATATAAACATATTTCTCTTTCTATGGCAGATTTAGGGCAAACATGACTCCTTATGTCTAACAGGTGCATAATATTACCGGGATCAGCAGTTTCTTCATAATAGAAGGTGTTTCACTGACACCAAACATGCAATAATATACAACCATTTACCGCATACAGCTTGCAACCTCTCCAAACGATGACTGCAACTGAGCAAGAATCGTTATAGCACTATATTCCAGCGATTTTTATTTGTTTTCATAGTTACGCCGCCACTGAATCAATTGTCAAAAGCTACGACTACCTGAATCCAAAAGATGTAAGTGTTGAATTTGCAGTAATATTAGAACATCAGTTCACAAGTCTTCTGTTGCTTAAAGATATCTGTATCAGGTAAGTTCGCGTTTATTTATTTTGGTTTGTCATTCCGTGTCTGATGTATATCAATGCGTAATAAGCACTGAGTCAATCCACTTGACGAAATATTCAGAGAACTATCATATACTGAGTAACACAAATTAATGGTAGGCTAAATGGACGGGTACATTTAAGGATCATAAAATTCAGAAAAATATGTGTAGATATAAAAACAATTGAGTCTTCATTCACAAAAGCATCGCAAAATGCTAAAGCCGTACTTTTTCCTAATATCCAAATATTCGTTAAATACATATGTAAATACCGTCTTGTAGCGGTGTGTCTGACGACATCGCGTTCCAGCTAGTTACCTATTTATTGCGCTTGTTAAGTTCGGCAGTGAACTTTTAAAATTAACGCATAAAGTCAATATAAACATGGATCGATAAATAAATGCGTGGCTTTCGAAATTTAAATTTTAAAATAGTTTTTTTTAAATATTTCGAACAATATTTGATGTATAACAGTGGAAATTGGTATACAAGGGTTTTTTGGTACAACAAAACGAACCATAGTTTTTACTGTAGCCGCTAGAGGGCGGTCTCTACTGTACCTGTAGTGTATTAAAATGACCGAAAAATTTTTCTTAGTGCAATTTTTTGCATTTTGAATAAAAAAACTGATTCCTCGCACTTTTCTGCATTAAAAAGCTCTCTTGTGAGTTTTCGTTATAGTTAGCCGTTTTTGAGATATTTCGATTTTTGAGGGTCGATGCATTTTTAATTATTTATGGGAAAATAATATCTTTTTTTACATTTTCGATTTGGGCATTACAAGTAATTAAGATGATCGTTTAGATTGTGTTTTTAAACACAGCAATAATTCCAACTCCAAATAAACACAAAAAAGCAGAATATTAATTTGTTTAATTTTCCAATATTATTTTTAACAAAGGCGACTGGTCCTCCACGGCCGATCCATCTTTCTGGATAATTTTCGTCCAGCCAGTTTCTAACTATTCTCGAATAATGATCTGGACAACCATCAAGCTGGAACCAGGCCAATCTTCTTAAATCTAACATAACATCATCCCACATATTTGCATGTTCAGCCTTTAAGAATTCCAAGAAGGTCGCAGCATTTAACCTTGCAGGCAAAAGGTAGGGTCCAAATAGTCGATTACGGTAGAAACCAATCTACACGTTCACACAAAATTCATGCTGAAAATTTCTTCCCCGAACTGCATGCGGATTTTCATGCGACCAAATATGTTGATTATGAAAATTTACCACTCCACGTCTAGTGAAGCATGACTCATCGGTCCATAAAACGTTACTTAAAAACTCCCTATTATTATCAGTTCTATCAAGAATCCACTGACAAAATGTGATTCTTCGTTCTCCGTCCCCTGGCTGTAGTCCTTGCACAGGTTGCAAATGGTAAGGACGTCTATGGTCATTTCTATGAACACGGTGAACATGGCTTGCTGAAATTCCCAAGGCACTAGAAACTCTCCTAACACTTGTGGTCGGATCTCTATCAAACTCACGCAGAATCATACGGGTAAATCTGCGCTGCCGAACAATGTTTTGATCCCTTTGGAGATTTTCAAAACCATTTTCAATTATTTGGCGATGCACTCTTACAAATACTGAGCGAGTTGGATGTCGTCTGTTTGGAAATCTTCGTGCATATTCTCTGGCTGCTTCTGCTGCGTTTCCATTTACAAAGCCATACACAAAATGAATATCCGCTAACTCTTGATTGGAGAAGAAAAATGGCATTTTTATAAAACTTACAAAAAAAACAGGTAAAAGAAACTAAATTTCGTGCATTCACAATTGCAAAAAAACGTTACAGGTTTCAACAGACAACAAAACTAACTGTCAACTAATTGACGTTTAACCTTATTCTGCTTTCAATTTCAAAAATATTTGCAGGCACAGCCTACTTTTAAAAATTATCGAGATACTGACTTTTTAACGTTATTTTATCATAAATAATTAAAAATGCATCGAACCTTAAAAATCGAAGCATCTCAAAAACGGCTAACTATAACGAAAATTCACAAGAGAGGTTTTTTATGTTGAAAAGTGCGAAGAATCAGTTTTTTTATTCAAAAAGCAAAAAATTGCACTAAGAAAAATTTTTCGGTCATTTTAATACACCACAGGTACAGTAGAGAGCGCCCTCTAGAGGCTACTGTAAAACTATGCCCAAGGTTCGTTTTGTCGCACCAAAAAACCCTTGTATACCAATTTTCACTGTTATACATCAAATATTGTTCGAAATATTTAAAAAGAACTATTTTAGAAAGTAAATTTAAACACCCTGTATTCGGAAGCCACGCATTTTTCGACCCATGTTTATATAGACTTTATGCATTAATTTTAAAAGTTCTATCGAATCTTAAAGTTATGCAACAATAAACTGAAACACCCTGTATATCGCACTTACATCATTCAATATTTCCGTTGTTACCGGGATCAGAGTCTTCCTAATGATAGAACGTAATTTGACCCATACTATAGACATAGACCCTAACATTCACAACCCCCTACCCCTTGCAACTCCCCATCCCCAATTTTCAACCCTCAGAATTTTTTTTCTAAAATGAAACAAAAAACGAGGTATGGGCGATATTTAATTTTTTTCATTTTTGACTTTTTTCTCCGCCGCCACTGAACCGATTTTCACAAACTACAAAGTTTTTCTATCCTTGGGGCAGTAGTAACATTTCGTAAAAGTTTCATCAAAGCCCGAGCGGATCTTTTTCAGTTATAGGCGGATATAAGATTAACGGACACACAGACAGACAGACCGACTGAAATTAGTGACATAGTTTTTCGTGATGTACAAGTCATATAACATCCAAAAACCATAATATCCCAACTAGCAAAGTAGTGCTATAAGCTTTTGGTAAACGAACTTTTCAGCTGTAAAAGCTCTCTTTTGTTGTTGCCTGAACACCATAATGCTGGCTTAATGTTGTGAGGAATGCAAATTTGCTTTCTGCAGCATATTTGCTCTAAAATGAGGTGTTTAGAATATTCTTATAGCAGAGTTATACAACACCTTGTATGACAAATTTTGAACGGTTGCATAAACGATTATTTACAACTATTTTATACGGCATATTTGCACGGTAGTCAAAATGGTTGTGTTGTGACATCCATGGTAACGTTTATACAACAAATCCGAGCCTTGTATTTATTACTTTAGCCAACAAATTTCTCCCAACGGAAGCACTTATACAACTGTCATTTAAAAATGCCATAACCAATATTTTAAGCCATGCATATTGGTTTAAAAGGTTTTATCAACTGTTAAAACAGGAGATATAGATCTGGTAGAAATTCTGGGTAAATCATTCGACTCTGTCCGTATTTCATCTTAGAGATTTGTCAAATTGTTGTATAACACTTGCAGACAACACCAAAATATTCTAATAAACCAAAGACAACATGGACGATGCCATGATTATACATATCCGCCATATTGGGCAAAAATATTTTCCTGTATTGAAAATTAATTAATCATGTTTCAGTTCGACATTACAGATATAAAGTGATAAACATTAGTGTAATTGTGTCTAAATATAGGATCTGTGGAAGATTTAACGCAGATAAGTTCAGTTTTTCATCTTAAAAATCTACTCTAATACTTTTGATCATTATTAAAATATGAATCAAATACGAAACCCGTACAAATTGTGTAACTACTTTGCACGATAATCACAATAAAATTTGCTGCGCAAGTAATTCAACAGCCCTATATTACAGTATAGAAGTTTATCATATACCTGTGTATGAATTCACAATGGCCGATATGTAGGTAAACAAGATGACTGTAATGTGCTAGTTATCGCCTATACACTACATAAGAAATAGTTTGGTTGCAATAAAGTAGAATCATGTAACAGAATAGTTGTATAGTTGACAAAAACTGAATCTTGCACCGACGCACATGTTCTATAGGGGCTGCAAGAGGTTTACACTTTTGTTGATAACTGTTACCTGCAGCCCTTATACAACCTCTTAAATGACTGAAGCGTCCTATTAGGTGTGCCCATTTCGCTTGTACAGCTGTTCTAAGAGCGTTTTGCCAATGTTCTTACAGCATACAATGCTGTGTAAGGATGACTGCATAATCGTTCTTGCAACTCTAATAGGAGTGATAATTGTTAGTTGGGATGTTATTTTCGAAATTCTTCGCTACTACTATACTTCCTCGCTCAGTGGCGTAGGAAGTGATGCATCCGTCACAATTTAAGTAAAGTTGGTCTTATTTTTTATTAACTTTTCTCGCCTAGTACCAGTACATCAATCCTCAACGCACTTAGGCGCTGCACTTGCATATAAAATAGATAACGTCTGGCAGCCCTGGGATGTTACGCTAATGCTAATGCTGCTTTGAAATTTGATACTGTCACGGTCATTTTTTAAACAGAAATCACATGTATGATGGCAAGGCAACATCAAAGCTAATTTGAAAGGTCAAAATTCGGTAAGAATAAGGGCCTTGAAGCAACTTGTTCAGAAAAATATTATTTTTTGTGTATTACTTTTTACACTCATTCACACTAGATGTATGGACAGAAATCGGAATGTAGTTCTCCATTTGGCTCTTAATATCCTCTTGTGCTTCGATGATATGCTTGTTCTTTTCATGTAGTGTAGCGTTTTCTGTTTTGATTCGAATGTATTCTTCATGTAACACATCAAAATCTCTCGTCATCTGACCAACTGGAAATATAAGTTTTACAAACATTGACAACAGCCTAGAAAACATATTTTAAAGTGTTGAATATAGGGCACGTCTAGTAGTAGAAAATTGGATTTTGGTATTTGTCTTCCGTTACTAGTTTTTTATTATAATAGGTGATTTTTTTTGCTAGTATCTTTTTGGCAACAGTGTTTTTGACAGATGACGCGTGAATCGTGTCTTGTGTCATTGTCAAACTTGTTCAGTTTGGTCTATAATTTAACGATGAATCGACTTCGAACGAACATCGCTTGCAAAGTATTGAATTTTACTATCAAAATTCATGATCGGTTAAGAGAGTGCATCGAGCACTGCTTCCAATTTCTGGGCAATTTGGTCGGCCTACTGAGGGAGCTATTCGGAAGCTTGTGACTAAATTTCGAACCCAGTTTACATTATTGGACATTAAACCACCAACACGCAGACGTAGAGTGAGGACTGAAGAAAATATTGCGGCTGTATCCGCCAGTGTCAGTGAAATGTGGATTCAGCAATTGGACCTCTGATACTCCACTACGTGGAACATTTTGCGACAGGTTTTGGGTGTAAAACCTTATAAGATACAGCTGGTGCAAGAATTGAAGCCACACGACCTCCCACAACGTTTCCCATTTGGTGAATGGGCGCTGGCAAAGTTGGAGGAAGATCCACTTTTTTATCGAAAAATTGTATTCAGCGACGAAGCTCATTTCTGGTTGAATGGGTACGTTAACAAGCAAAATTGCCGCATCTGGAGTGAAGACCAGCCAGAAGCATTGCAAGAGCTACCAATGTATCCCGAAAAAATCACTGTTTGGTGTGGATTATGGGCCGGTGGCATCATCGGGCCGTACTTCTTCAAAGACGACAATGGCCGGAACGTAACTGTGAATGGCGAGCGCTACCGTGCGATGATACAAAACATTTTTTTGCCCAAAATGGAAGAGCTGGACTTGGCTGACATGTGGTTTCAACAAGACGGTGCCACATGCCACACCGCACACGAAACAATGGCCCTATTGAGAGGCGAGTTCGGTGAACAGTTTATCTCACGTTTGGGGCCCGTCAGTTGGCCGCCTAGATCGTTTGATTTAACGCCGTTGGACTATTTCTTGTGCGGCCATATTAAGGCTAATGTCTACAGGGATAAACCAGCAACGATTGACGCACTGGAAGCCAATATTGAAGCATTTATTCGTGAGATACCGGCCGATATGTTGGAGAGAGTGTGGCAAAATTGGACCTTGCGCATGGGCCATCTAAAGCGGAGCCGCGGCCAACATGAAATAATCTTTAAACATTAAATTATATCGACCGTTCTATCGACTCAAATAAAGATTTAATCGTTTTTTCAAATTTTTTGTGTTGTTTTTGAAAATCAAATCCTATACCTCTTAAAAAATCACCCGTTATTTCACTATGGCATTCGTGTCATTTAGGAATCGGCTCAGAAGCCCTATGAGTACTTTGTTGAAAACGATACATTATTCAAATCTGTGACAAAGTATACTAGGGATCTCACCGAAACAATATTTCTTCCATACAGGGATATTTTCTTCCAAAATATAATAATATATAAAGAAACTAGAGGAAATCCAAATTATTAAATTTTCAAACACACCCATGCGCTACGTAATGTTAATTACCTAAGAAATCCATACTCGACTGAAGATGACTAAAAATAATAGACCTAACGTTTAATTATAAAGTTTATTCGTCAATGATTTTGAAAATATGTCTAATCACTACTTCTCAAAGATTGCCAAAATAACTTTGTTTAACCACGGCTTCTATTCATTTGACGATTACGTTACTCGGATAGATGATAAATTGATTTGTAAGACCTCACATGTACGCCTTCCCACTTCAGTTGGCCCACTTCAAGATTTGTACCAAAATATGCCTTTATAAACTAAACATGACGAAACTATTTACTTCTAAAACAATTTATTTTCTCAAAAACATTTTAGATCCACTCTAGTTGTAAAAAATACATATTTGAAATCACTTAGACCTATAACTAATAGAACATCTGAATAAATAAACAATGTGCGAATAAATGCGCGAAGTTAACAAGGCAACAATTGAAAGATTACCATTGGGTAACATCACCTTTATTTTTTATTACGGCTGAAATTCTTTGGGGCGTAGTGTTAACCAAGTTTTGGCAAAAATTTGGTGTAAAATAATTCCATATTTCTTGAAGCTTTTGTCTCAGTTCGGTGATTGTACGAGCAGGATGTTGTCGTAGAACCTTTTTCATCTCGTGCCACAAAGTTTCAATAGGTGACAGATCTGGACTGCTAGAAACCCATTTCAAAAGTGGTACATTATTTTCTTCCATCCATTTTATAGCTTTTTTTGGGGTATGGGACGCTGCACCATCTTGCTGAAACACAAAATCTTGCCCGGATGTCAAACATTCTTCCATCACTGGTAAAAGCAGTTCTTCTAAAGTTGCCAAATATTTGTTTGTATCCACATCTCCATCAATAAAATGAAGTTTTCCTACTCCTTTTGATGGCATACTACCCCAGACCATAATCGATGTTGGAAATTCCACTTTTCTCTTCAGACAGTCAACATGGAATGCTACTGCGACTGTCACCAACACAAACTTCGAATCGGGCCTCATGACTCCATTGTATTGCACACCATTGTTGAGGTGTCCATTGTCTATGTGCTTTATCCCATCTAAGCCGATTTTTCTTTTGCAGTGGAGTTAATAGTGGCTTTTCTTTGACCTGTAAACAAGTTGAGCAACTCTAGGGTTTTTACTTCCCTTTTTTTATAAGAAAACTTACCTTGCAAGTGCTAAATCCCATTTTATGTACCTCTCTATGAGTTGTGGACCTCGAAATTCTCCTTTCAACAGCGTCACTCCACAGAGCACTTAATTGTAAATAATTGGCACGCCTGTTTTTCACGATCATTCTTCTTAATTCTCTTCGGTCGGCACTTGTGATATTACTTTTTTTCACATATCGTGGCTTAATATTAACTGAATCAGTTACGTTATACCTTCTAACAATATTTCTCACACTGTACCGCGATAAGTCTAACAAAGTTGCAATTTCTGAGTTTGATTTCCCAGAATTAAAAAATGTAATTAATAGTAACCGAATTTTCTCACTAATAACCTTTCCTCTACCCATTTTGAAAACCTTAACTACCCAAAACTATTTTAAACGTATTCTGACAGCTGTGATTAATAAAAACAATTGTCATGGCTTTTATTTTTCACAGCCACCTATGCGTTATAGACTTATTTTGCATTGAAATGAAAATAGGTTGATATGCTGTAATTGCAACATGTGTTATTTTTATGCTGCAAATTTGATTAGGGAGTGATAAAGTTGGTGTTTTCTACAATATATTATCAAAATATGCATTGTTAATATTTTAAACCTATAACATCCTGCTACATTTTTATTATTTGTGTTTGATAAGAAAAACTAAGATTTCAATAGTTGGGCCAACTGAAGTGGGAAGGGGCTCGTACATTGTATACACATAACTTGGTCAATAAATGGTATGGTATAGTATAGGCACTCCTTATCCATCGAAGCTGTATAATAGCCAGTCAAATGTGTGTTCAGATTTTTTACCTTTCGCTTCATAAGTTTTCAAAATCTCTTCGATCTTATCCTGCTTCAAAGCACACTTTTTTATCAAGGCATCGTTTTCATTCTTCATCATCTGAAGTTCGTTTTTCAAATTAACTACTTCTTCTTTCAATTTCGTACTGCATCCCACATCTTGTGTAAGTCGCTCATGCAAACGCTCATTTTCGGCAACGATCTCTTTGAGCCTGGAAATATGGCAGAAAAAATGGTTTTATCATTTCGACATATACAGGGTGTCCCAGAAAACATCAACCCGGAAACGGGGGATAATGGTTGTCATCAGAAAAATATAAAAATATAAGTAGTGTATAGTTGTAGTCACCGTTCTTGGCGGTTATGTTATCAACGCCATATGAAATAAGTAAACAGAGCGAGTCTCCGTACCCAAGAAGTGGGACATGGACAGGGGACCGCTGTTTTCATTCTCTTCCTGTAAATACTCTAATAAAATGTTTATATACGTATTGAAGATTGATAACAGGACAAGTCGAACTGCACGCCGTTGACAAGTAAGTTGTCAATCTAACAAATCGGATTGAAGGGCACTCATACGTAACGACAACATTTTCTAGACGGAGACACACAACTGAAAAACGTATGTCTTTGAGCGTACCGAACAAACGTTCACACACAGCGGTAGGTTGCCTGTGTGTGTTTGACGGAGACTGTTGTTTTTTTTAGGTTGGTATTATTTTTACAGTTGTTAACACTTCCATGCTCAACATATTGACAGGTATATTGTGTAAAACTTCCAGTGTGAGCAACGGGTCGTTTTAATTGAACAAAGGTGGGAAATATTGAAAAACTATTTTCAAAGTGAGTGCTGTATTGCAAAAAGTTTGCAAATATTGAGAAGACTATTTGGTCGGAGTGAAGCTCCGTCCGCGACTGGTACACGAAAATTCGTGAAGAAGGTCAACTCGTCACAGAACACAACAAGTGGGCATCAGTCGAACTTCTGTGCAGAGAATATTGCATAGCGACCTGGGATTATTTCCTTACAAGGTGCAACTTGTGCAAGAGCTGAAACAAAATGACCATCCGCTTCGATACCGTTTCTCTGTGCGGGCTCTAAATCAATTGGAAACGGACGTCAATTCTCGTCGCCAGAACATCTTTTCGGACGAAGCCCATTTCCATCTGGGAGGTTACATTAACAAGCAGAACTGTAGGATTTGGGGTTCTGAAAATCCACATATCGTCATAGAAAAACCAATGCATTCAAAAAGAGTAACTGTTTGGTGTGGCTCTTGGAGTGGTGGGATTATTGGTCCCTACTTTTTTCAAGATGAAGTCGGTAACAACGTGACGGTAGCCGGGGAACGCTATAGAGAAATGTTGATGACGTAACAAGCCACACCAGCCGTGAAAGAGTCGATCTTTTACACACTAAGTCCAGTCATCGCGTTATCAGCGGGTTTGCAAACGTTCATTGGTCAGCCCGCAGCTGTGACGCCAATGTGTTACTTCCTATGGGGTACTGTTAAGTACCGCTGTTACACTAACGATCCTCAGACAATTGATGTTCTTAAGGAAAAAATCCGTCGCGCTATTGATGAAATAGACACACAAACTATCGAAAATGTGCTTCAAAATTGAGTTAACAGGATGAACGCGGCAGCCATTTAACCTAAATTGTTTTTCATAAATAACCGAAAGTATCGAGTGTTACATATTATTGAGGAGTGTAGTTTTAATACCAATCTAAAAAAGGAACCAACGGATGGCCCACCCTTCATAAAAGGATACTGGTAGTCTTACACCCTGAGACGTTCTTTTAGTTCCTATTACAAATTTGATTTTTTTTTCTTAGAAGGTGTCAATGTGGAGATAGTAGTGACAGACAGTAACGCCACATATATTGCAAGACATAAGACAAATAACTATTCGGTGTTATACTGTTCGAAACACGTTTTAGGATGTAGTGGAACACTACATTTTCTGCAGCGAATCTTTTTTATGGCATTCGCCATAACGTTGCAAGTTCTCTTGATAAACTACAAGGTGATTGAGCCCATCTAGAATAAGCACTCTTACATGATCACTATTTGTAGAAGCACACTGTATAAATGTCGATATACTTGTATGGCTCAAGCGATACGCATGGGACTAAACTGTAGTAATTGGTGGTAGTTCTAATGTTCTTTGACAGAGCACGGTGGCGATACCTTCTGTCAAATTACTGAAACTCCTTAAATAATCCTTGAATCGCAATGCCTTTATAAAGGACGGTAGTAGTATCTGAGTTAATAATTTGTGAATATATTAATTAAATTCACAATAAATGTCAAAACTGCATCTACATCTTCTTAAAAATGATCGGCACGGGTATTACGTATCTTGGAAAGTGACATTATGCCGATTTTTTTTTTTGACATTATCCTGTTTTTTTTTTGACATTATGTAGGTTTTTCTACAAGACATTAACTTAGCGCTTAGTTGTACGTGTTGCCTACACGTCATGAGGCTTGTTATCAATCATGGGCTCTGATGTGATGTAAAATCTGCTCCTGGGATGGCATTATTGGAGGTCTCTACTGTAAGTTTTATGTGTTGATTATAATTAAAGTGAGTTCTTGTCTCAAATACACTTAATTGAGATTCAAAGCTTGAAATTAGTTGCGCATCCACTTTTTCTTATCCGTTCTAAAAATTATATATACAAATTTGCTGAATTTAAGAAATGTGAGAGATAAGAAATAATTTTATTCACTGTACACTGACGAATACAAGCCATATACATGCTAACCTAACAGTAATTTTACACACAACGCGGCCGCGGTGATGATTTCCCGTAATTCTCCTCAGTTTTTCGTAATTTATAACTTTGAACATAACCTCACTTCAGAAAGCACAACATAAAAATAACCCGTCAGGCACAGCCAATAGATATACTTCATTGGCAGCATATTCAGTGATGATTTGCTCACAGCAAATATCACTGACTTCATTTACATGCAGACCAATACACATAATCATCCAGATGTGATCTTGCTATTCAACCAACTTTCTTGTCAGAGATGAAAACTACAGACAAGGACCATTTGGCCTCACAAAACATATGCAACCAATAATGCGTATAGTTTAGTTGAGTGATTCCTCCTTAAATGGACGTTCATAACGATCCTGGTGAGCAATCGTGTCTGTTTACACCCTAAAAACTACCTAGTTTGCAAGATGAAATCTTATAGGTTTTTTTTTTGACGTTTTATAGGTTGGGCGGGTGATCAGACGGGCGAATCTTTCGTTATCAAAAAATTCAGCTGCTTCTGTTATTCTGTCCCGTAGCTCGGCTAAATTTTCGATTGGTTTTGAGTAAACCTTTTTCTTTCATCGCTCCCCAATAAACAAATTCAAGTGGGCGGGCTGGCCACGAAATTGTACCAGACTGCCCTTCCGTCTGCTCGGGTATTCCGCATCAATAAATTGTCTAACTGAACGGGCTTAGTGCACCGGGCAGACGTCTTGCTGGTCTCTGTAAATGATTAGTGGCATGTTTTCCATTAAATTTGGAAAATTATTTTGGAAAAAGTTTAAATAAATTTCGCAAATCAAGAACTTTGGCAGCTCAACGGGTGGGCTGTACTTTAAGGCACTCCCGCGCTTGCTTCTATTTGACGTACTGAATGAAGTACTCGGGTCTCCTTTGACTACTTGTAAAAGGACGTCCTCGTAATGAAAGGAAATTATTCTCAATTTGGATATCACCCGTTTGAGAGTGAACGGTGCACCTTCACAAAAACTCGGTGATCGAAATGATGAGCAGCATTTGGGTTACTCTTACGATAAAGCCAAGCTGCAGCACTAGCATTGCATCTACATTTCGCATAATTGAGGTGCAAGCTGGCGTATTCCTGTACGGTATACATGGTGGCACTACACAATCATGAATTATGTTCCGTCCTCGTCGAAGTAAATATTTAGAATACATATCGTAGTACCCTACTTAGTTGTACCAAACCCGACGATTTCAAAGCGCGCACGCAGCGAAAAAAAGCGGCACCGCGCCCGTTCCCCCTACCTTCCTCCCCTCTGGCCGCCTATAAACATTCATTTTCTTCAAAGCCAAGTTGTTGCAACAATTGGGTGATTCATAGGGAGCGAGGGAGCTATTTACTTCGACGAGGACTTCACATAATTAAGATCGAACATCACTTACAGGTAAGTTCGTTCGACCATGTAATTAATAAAAGTGGGGTTACTGTCTGTATTGCTGTCTCTACGTAGAATGACACTGCCCGTTACTCCGTTTAAGAGAAAATTGAAATTTGTAGTAGGGGGAACGAAAATATCTTCACAGGGTGTATATTTTTCAGATTTCCTCAAAGCCTATAACTTGAAAAGTACACGATTGGGATTTCTTTATATTTTTCTGAGAATTGTTAAGACTCTCCCGTTTCGGGCTTGACGACGACTTCTGGGACCCATTAATAAAGTTGATACTCATAATTTGACTATTATTTTTTTCTTAATATCCACTCTACCTTCCTGTAAAATTGGAAAATTCCACTTCATAGTTCTGGATTATCTCGTCTTTCTCTTTAATAGTGTCTTCGTATGCGTCTAAAAGTGGTCCTAAGGTGTGTGTATTAACACTACCCCAGGATATCGGAGTGTGCTTATGTGTCCTGTGTACCTGAAGAAACCATCAGGAGTTGGTAAAAAATTAAACATTTTTAAGAAATCATATAAAACCGTCTAACAAAAAAATTTCTGGAAGTAATTCCTCTAGACCTACTGTGACCCCCCTAAATCCATGAACAGATTCTTTATACATAACGATATATAAACGGTTTTTTTTTCTCGAAGTTATAAAGTAAAAAATTCACTGGTGGATCAAGCAAAGCTTTGCCAAATCTCCACCAAGCTCTTTCAACTCAATGAACAAAAATAGTATAATAACCTCTGAAAGAATTTCATCACTTGTAGATTCTGGAAGACCGTCCAAGTTTTCTGGTTTCGATGTTTCTTTGAAATTCAACTTGGGAGCGATTAAGTTGTTATTTCGAAGAACCTCTTGGTAACGTTCCAACTGTACGTTCAGTCTATGAAACAGAAAGTAAAAGAATTTTAGCAGATCCAGTCAAGTTTCTTAGCGCGTACGTAGGCATATCATTAATTTGTATGGATAATAATAATAATAATGGTTTATTAGTATTATTACACTAAACGTCATTACACAAGTCAATACGATGAAGGAAGCTCAGTAGCAAGAAGAAAGTAAACGACAAACAATACATATAAAAACACTACAGATCATACACTCACATGATTATAAGGGTGACAATAAAAAGTACAAAAGATAAAATTATAACAAATTACGTCTACTCAATAAGTAAATGGTATAACAGAAAAGGCTATAATAAATAATATATATATATACGAGGCGTGTTTTTAAAGTAAGTACCGTTTTTAAATTACGCCGTCGCAGCGCTGCGGTTGCCGTTTAGCGCATGCGCGTCGTGTAGCTACATCTGTTGGGAAGCCGCAGACGCCATTACTGAACCATCCGATCGAGTCTACATCTGTTTGCTTGATTTTAAAATGCCTCCACCGATTGAAAATCTCGCCGACTGCGAAGTGTGTGCTGTAATACGGTTTCTGTGTGCTCAAGGCTTCAAATCAGTTAAAATTCATCACCAAGTCAGTGGTGAAAACATTATGAGTGATGGAATGGTGCGGAAATGGGTTAGGGCCTTTGAAGATGGCCGCACAAACATTCATGATGAGGAACGAAGTGGGAGACCTTCAGACATTACCGATGACCCGATTCAAAAAGTGGACTGTAAAGTGAAAGAGAACAGACGATTCACGATTTCGTCCTTAGCTGAACAGTTTCCTGCTGTCTCAAGAAGTGTTCTTTACGAAATTGTGTCCGAACGTTTAAATTATCGGAATTGTGTTCACGCTGGGTGCCAAAAATGTGAAGCAGTGGTTGTTTACTTAGGCGGCAAGCTTCTTTGACGATGGCATACAAAAGCTGGTCTCAAGATACGATAAATGCCTCAATCGTAATGGGAATTACGTAGAAAAGTAGAGTAAAATATGGCCTTTCAAGGGAATAAATTATTTTTGGACAAAATTTACTTGTTGTTTTTTTACGTCAAAACGGTACTTACTTTAAAAACACGCCTCGTATATATATATATATACAGTGAAAGCTCCCATAAGCGGACACTCACGGTTCCGTAACTTTTGTCCGCTTATGGGAGGTGTCCGTTTAAAAGAGAGTATGTAAGTATAGAGTATAAATAACGGGGTATATAATCATGAGGAAATGAGGTATTATAATCATGAGAAAAAGGAAACAGAAACTCGCCACATTTTTAAAGAATGTATTTATGCTATATATATAATATATGTACATATACGCATACAAAAACATAAATGCTTCAATACATGGTACGAGAATTTAAAAAAAACATTATTCTTTAGCTTGTTGAAAAAAGTTTAAAATGTTTGTCTGACGAAATTTCACCATCTTTTGCTGAAGGAGACAATTTTCGTAATAACTTTCTAAATTTTTCATATGTTGAAATGCAGTGAAATCATCTTTAGCAAATTTTTTCAATATAGAAATATGATTTAGAGCTTCCCCAAATGAATTTATCGTTTTTGAACCGCTTAGTGAGTCCACCAGTTCCACTTCTTCTTCTGAGTCGTTTGGACTACCATATTCAAGTTGGCCTGGGCTTTCTACATCCAAATTCGAAAAGTTGCCAATGGCATTTTCTTCTGTTGTTATGTTATTGTCTATGGCCAGGAAATCATCTACTTTCTGGGGATCTGCTACTCCTAAATGTTTGGCATGTCGCAGTAACTGAGCAAGTGTCGCTAAGGGCAGATCGTCTTCAGCATCGCAATAATTTTGCTCAGCAAATTCTGAGCTACATTCACTTTTTCTGAATCCAGCTTTGCCAAAACAGTTTTTAATTGTAGAGGAATTTACTTTATTCCATGCTGTTTTTATAAAATACAAAGCTTCTAACACATTGATAGACTTTGTAAGCTCAGATAAGCTTTGACCATCGTCAATTTTTGTTAAAATATGTTTTAAGATCAAGTGCCGATAATAAAATTTAAAGTTCTGTATGACACCTTGATCCATTGGCGGTAAAAATATAATTTTCACATTTTTCATTTTCATATCACGAGGATGTCTAAAAATAAAAGAACTTGCCTTTTTTGGATTCTCATTTTCCGGTCGAATTCGACTAACCACTCAGACATGATTTCTCGGGTCATCCATGCCTTTTTGATGGATTTCCAAGTCGCTGGTAGATCCTTAATAGCAACGTTTTTTAAAGCACGGGGACGAGCCGCTTTCCCGATCACAATCAAATCGCATTTTTCACCGGCCATATTTGCACAGAATAAAATGGTTAGTCTATCTTTAGACAACTTTCCACCCACACATGTTTCTCCTTTAAAGGACAGAGTTTTGTCGGGCAATGCGCGAAAAAAAAGTCCACTCTCATCTGCGTTGTACACATCTTCTGGTTTGTAGCCAAGCAACATGGACGGAAGTTTCTCCAAAAATTGTGACACATCAACTTGATCTACTGCAGCAGCTTCGCCAGATATGCATTTGAAACTCACACTATGTCTCTTGCGCCACTTTTGCAGCCACCCGTCGGGCGCACTGAAATTATTATAGCCCAAAGTAGTGGCGATTTCTTTAGCTTTCATTTTCACTAACAGCCCTGAGATAGGAATGTTCTGACTTCTAGCTTTCACAAACCACTCAAAACATGTTTTGTCTATAGCAAAACCTTCCTTTTTTAAAAAATCCTTCTTTTGATTTATATTAGTTCCTGATTGCCATTTACTCCTGATATCTTCCTTATTTTTGGCAATTTCAGCTGCTTGCATTTTCCCAATATTAAACCTCTTTGCCAAATGACGAACTGAAACACTTTCTCTGTCTAATACGTTAACAACTTCCATCTTTTCCTTTAACGAGAGCATCCTTTTTTTTGGTGCCATTTTACAGTTACAATAATAAAATACGTAACTCAATCAACTACGAATTTGCCTGAACTGAAGACAAGCCACAAGATTACATACAGGCTACCCAACGAAATGCGTAAATGGGGAATCACCTAATATAAATCGGGGAATTACCGAATTTTATGTATGTAGATATGTGCATTGCAATAAGCGGAACTAAAAAATCGTCCGGGTATTAGAGTTTCGCGTCCGCTTATGGGAGATTTTTTGATCACATACAGGAAAATCTAGTGTCCGCGTCCGTTTATAAGAGCGTCCGTTTATCGGAATGCATTTAACATTGAAAATTGATGGCTGAAATTCGGTTCCAGGAACTTTGTCCGGTTAAAAGAGATGTCCGCTTATAGGAGCTGTCCGCAAGGAGAGCTTTCACTGTATATATATATATATATATATAGTTAGGTGAAAAATTAAAGCTTCCGCCTTTTGTTGGGTACTTCGACAAAATTTAAGCAAAGAGGACTCTTTATACTTTTTTAATTCTCTCTAGCTTTCAATGGACTTTGCCATCATCATCAGGAGAGTAGTATGCGAGGATGTTGCTAATTGTTGTTTACGTATAGGATGAGGGAAACCTCCAGTAACATGGTGAAAGCTGGATAGATGGTACAATGGTCAGAATTATATAAAATATGACAAGAACAAGTTAAAAACAGATTAAATTTTTTTTTAAAAACATGAAAGCATTACATCGTGAAGCCACTTGATTCTGACCATTGTACCATCTATCCAGCTTTCACCATGTTACTGGACGTTTCCCTCATCCTATACGTAAACAACAATTACCAACATCCTCGCATACTACTCTCCTGATGATGATGGCAAAGTCCATTGAAAGCTAGAGAGAATTAAAAAAGTATAAAGAGTCCTCTTTGCTTAAATTTTGTCGAAGTACCCAACAAAAGGCGGAAGCTTTAATTTTTCACCTAACTGGTCTAGACGACAATGACCACGTCTCAAGTTATATATATATATATATATATATATATATACAGGGTGACTTTGAAGTTGAGTCATTAATTTTCAGATAATGATTGTAGAAGGAAGATAAACCAAAATATGTGTGTAAAAATTAAAAAAGATTAAAAAAAAATGTTACCTTGTTTTATAAAATATCCTCCCGACAAGTATTTCAGTGCGGACCTGTATTTGATCGTGCGGTCTTGGAGCACATACCCTCCCGTGTGAGGACTTAAGTCACCTGATTCACGAGCCCTTTGTACTACATTAACAAAGGCACTAGGGGTTGGTTGCACTCGATTGGGGAACCGATCCGCATAAATCCGTGTTGCCGTAGCAGCATTTTGTAAAATCAGAATCATGTCCACAAGTTCAGCATTTTCGTAAACATGTGCCATTTTTTATTTCGTTTGAGCCAAGCAGAAACACCACTCACGCGTTACCGACTGACACATCGAATGAATACAACTGAATAAAATAAATGAATAAAACATCGTGATAAGCGTTCCACATTTTTTCGCTTTTTTGTTTCCGATTATATCCGTTTTTGCCAAACACGAGCACATATTATTATTGAAACAGGGCGGTACTCAAACTTCTAAAGGGCTATAACTTTGTTACTTTAATTTTACCACAAAAATGTTAAAGGAAAAAACATTTCTTTTGATCAGATCTACTCACTGTTAAAATAAATGACTCAACTTCGAAGTCACCCTGTATATATATGTACATGGTTCAAATAAAAAAGGAAAAAGAAGATATAGAACAAAATATTAATGCAGTTAAAACTATTGGAGGAGTTGTGGTTGAACAACTCGTCAGTGGTGAAAAAAGCTGTCGACAATAGCTAATTTTTGTCATCCTTACTAAATTCATTGTATGCTAGAGATCTTAGTTCCTTAGGTAATACGTTATAACATTTTATGCCATGGTAGTTAACTCCATTTCTCGTTTTAGGAAGTCTGTTTGTCTTTGTGTCCGGTGTTATATGAATGAATTTCATGATGGGTTGTATAAAAGTCAGGATTTGACTTACATATACTGAGTGACAAATAAAGGTAATCACCTACGTAAGTTTAGTAGAATTCAAGAATTTTTTACATAGATATCGATTTATCGTGCCACGAACGACAAGTGATAAAATGGTCAGGTTTTTTGTTAAGTTTTTGTGGTGGCTGCATGTATTGTTTGGTGATAAAGAAGCATTCAGTTTTCGTATAATTACGGTGTCATTTAAATGTTAAATATTATATATATATATATATATATATCAGATAAGCCGTCAACAAGCAAAGTAAGTAGAAAATACCTATCTACGTTAAGATGGATAACAAATGTCAGGACCTAGTCATCTACTACCAAAATACAAGAGGACTACGATCTAAAACAACGGAGTTCTTTAATAATGTTCGTGCAAGTGATTATGACATAATATGCCTGACAGAGACGTGGCTCAAAGATGGTGTATGCAGCAGCGAATTATTTGGAGCGGATTACACAGTATTTAGAAGAGATCGTGAGAGTTCATGTTCACAAAAAAGTGATGGTGGTGGTGTGTTAATCGCGGTTAAAAATGTCTTCAACTCAAAACGCTGTTGTGAACTCGAATCTGATGCTGAAGATCTTTGGGTATCAATTGAACATATCAACGGTACCAAACTATTTATAAGCTGTATATATTTACCACCTAAGGATAGCATTTCATATGCCTCAGTTATAAGCAAATTATACCAGAATGAAGGTTTTTTTCGACAAAATACGGTGTTGTTGGTTGGTGACTTTAATCTTCCAAGTGTCAATTGGCAACCAGTACTTAATGAACATTTTATGGAGCCACTTAATGTTGAAGAGAAAACGAGTGCCTTACTTGACACATTGTCGTATCTACAGTTAATGCAATTTAATAAAATTTACAATTCAAATAACCGTTTATTAGACTTGATACTTTGTAACGAATGTTCAATATATAATATTTCGAATTCGGTTGACATATTGGTTCCTGAGGATAGTCACCATCCTGCTATTACATTTTGTTTTAAGCATGTTTTACTTAAGCCATTAATGCACCAGAGCCGATGCCTTTACAACTTTAATAAAGCCGACTATACTTCCATAAATAATACTCTTTTAGACATAGAATGGGAAACATTATTTAGTACCAAATCTGTAGATGAAGCTGTAGCCATATTCTATAACATACTCAATGAATCTATTCACAAATTTACACCAACATATAAAATTCGAGGAAAATACCCAATATACTTTAAACTTGAAACAATACAAACAGTTAAGAGAAAAAATAAGTATCATAGACTATACAAACGTTTTAATGATCCATACTCATATCAGATATTCTGTGACCTTAGAGCCAAATCAAAAATCTTAATTAAGGAAAACCTGGATGAATACATAACAATGATGGAAAACAATATATTGAACGACAGCCGATACTTTTGGAAATACGTTTCAAGTAAGAAAAAATGTCATATCTCTATACCTAGTTCTATAAATCATTATTCAAACTATGAAGTTAAAACAGGAAGTGGGGTGTGTAATGCCTTTGCTGATTTCTTTGCAAGTGTATATGTTAAATCTAAACATTTTTATTTAAACAAGGATGCTAGTCCTATTGATGTTACCTTAATATCCATTGAAAAAATATATCAACAAATAGTGTCCTTAGAAATTAAAAAATCAGTAGGCCCCGACGGCATACCTTCTGTATTTATAAAAAACTGTTCCGCTAGCTTATGTTCACCACTTCAACTAATTTTCAAACTATCATTAACTCAAAGAGTCTTTCCAACGAGATGGAAAGAAGGTGAAATATTGCCTATTCATAAAGGAGGCGATAGACATCTTGTGGAAAATTATCGACCTATCACTAAACTTTGTATTTTCTCAAAAATTTTTGAAAAGCTGATTTATGATCCTATCTTAAACATTACAAAAAATATCATTACGGAACACCAGCATGGATTTTTCCCTAAAAGATCTGTAGAGACGAATTTGATGAGTTTTATAGAATATGCCTCTCACGCAATAGATGAGAAACTGCAGGTGGATGTTATTTATACCGACTTCAGTAAGGCTTTCGACAAGATTGATCATTCTATCTTGATGGAGAGACTTGCTGAGGTGGGTGTAGATGGTCCATTATGGCAGTGGCTAGCATCGTATATAAGTAATCGTAAACAAGTGGTGACTATCAATGGGTATCGTTCGGAGACATTCTTAGTAACTTCAGGCGTACCACAAGGTAGTCACTTAGGACCATTGTTATTTAACATATACATGAACAACCTTACTTCTGTTTTTCATTTCAGTAAATATTTGTTATATGCTGATGATCTAAAGATATTTACTATTGTTAGAAATGTAAATGACGGTGTAAAACTTCAAAGCGACTTGGAATCTCTGCAAAAGTATTGCACTGAAAACAGTATCTTCCTGAATTTAAAAAAATGTCATTACATGAGGCTTACTAGAAACATAGTGAACACTATAGATTTCAGATATAAGATAGGGACGGCAGAACTGGAAAAGCTTCATGTAGTAAAAGACCTAGGGGTATACATTGATGAGAAACTCTCATTCATCACCCACGTAGAGCACATCGTAAATGATGCAAATAGAACACTAGGGTTCATAAACAGGACATGCAGAGAATTTACGAACCCAAAAACGCTTCTTTCATTGTACTACGCTTATATACACAACAAACTGATGTTTGCATCAGTAATATGGAATCCGTCTTACAATGTACATATAGTCAGGATAGAAAGAATTCAACACAAATTTTTGAAGATGTTAGCACATAAAACTCACCAACCTGTTACAGATCATCATTATACGCAAATTATGAAACAGTTCAATATGATTTCCTTAAAAGATAGAAGAACGATTTCTGACATTTGCTGTGTCCATAAATTGTTGAATGGCCTCACTGATTGTCCGGATCTTTTGGCAAACTTGAACTTTAACACTCCTGATAGAACGTTTAGAACCTATCATCTGTTTAGAATACCGTTCCGTAGAACCAATCTTGGTCTTAATTCCCCTTTGTTCAGGGCTCAAAAAAATCATAATAATTTCTGTAATATAGATTTATTTAACATTAGCTTGACCTCCCTGAAAAAGGCTTTAAAGTATGAGTATTACAGCTCTATGGCAGAGTAAAATAGAAATGTTTTATTTTTTTACATAACTCAAGTTAACACCTCCAATATCATTTCTGGTATAATTTCAATTTAATTTTGATTTCAGTTTTATTTAAACGTAAGTAAATGTTAAATTATGTATACTCCTTTTATTAAAAAAGTTAAATTAATAGTTAATTACTTATAATTAGAAATACTCACTCAGTTTATGTTGTTACAACAATATCGGAGGATAAAAAAATATTAATATTGAAGTATTCAATAATGTAATATATGTATATGTATACGATATTTTATGTAAGTTTAGTTTTAGTTCACTGAGGGTGTGTGTTGGGTTTACCTGTTAACACCCCAAACTGTATATAAATAAAATAAATAAATATAGAGAGAGAGAGAGAGAGAAAATGATCGTGCGGAGAAAGGTATATAACAAAAAGTAGAAAAATAATGGGCAAAATCCGCAAAAAAGAGGAAAGTGGATTCGAGCAGAAAATAGGATAGGTAACCCGAGCGATACGTATTTCTGCTGGTTGGCTGCATCAGGCCCGAAATGAATGCACATATGAAACTACAAAAGTAGATACACATGCCCACACATCCGGATACGGGTGTAACCTGAGGAAACGAAGATGGAGAGGAAAAAAAACGACACACGAAGTCCACAACAAGAGCCAACCTACACATGGTAGTATAAAATGGCTAGAAGACCTCGAATTTTCAAGGAGACATCTAACCACAACCACGCGGCCGGTTATAGCCACTTGCTGTGGTACTACAAGCCCAAAGGATCTACAAACAGAAAATGATCATGCGGAGAAAGGTACAGGTATATCACAAAAAGTAGAAAAATAATGGGCAAAATCCGCAAAAAAGGGGAAAGTGGATTCCTTTCCTTTGGGCTTGAAGTACCACAGCAAGTGGCTATAACCGGCCGCGTGGTACTTGTAGTTTCATATGTGCATTCATTTCGGGCCTGATAAAGCTAACCAGCAGAAATACGTATCGCTCGGGTTACCTATCCTATTTTCTGCTCGAATCCACTTTCCTCTTTTTTGCGGATTTTGCCCATTATTTTTCTACTTTTTGTTATATATATATATATACTCTGTGCATGTGCGGAGGGCGACCCCATGCCAGATTGGCGACTGTCATTTTGCAAAGGAAATCCGCATGGTAACTGGTCAACAGATGACGTTTAGTGAAACCGAGTCTTTTAAATGGCGAATTAAATGAATTATTCTTGTAAAGGATTTGGTGACATGAAGAGGAGTCGATATAGACACCACGAAACTTCACTACGTTTGCGTGGTTATCATTCCGAACAATATTTCGGAGTGTGATTGTCAAGGATTGAGATTTGTTTGGTTTTGATGGTAACTGGCGAGCGAATAACAATAATAATAGTCAGATATTCCTTGTTGGAAAGGCCCGATTATTTCATAATACAAAGCTTACTTTCCACTAGCTTACCTATAGATAACGGTTTTGGTCATCTCCAAATCTTCGTTCAGCTCCTTATTGACCTTCCTGAGTAAATGATTATCAGCCTTGTACGTATTTAGAATACTCTGCAGATCTCCACATTTCTTGCATACTTTTCTCAGCTCTAGTTGGTGTCTCAAATCATCGTTTACCATTACCAAGCTCTCATACTGCAGTCTTAACTCGGAATTCTGTTTGTTTAGCTCTGCGTTGTCAACCTTAATAATATGACGGATGAAAAATTGAACGATGTTTAACTCAAAAATAATCAATCTTCATTCATTCATTTGTATCATTCGTAATAATTGTAATATCTTTTTTCTCTTCACTACAATGTACAATGTTTAGAAATCAATTAAAGCAATATAAACACTCTGATTTATGGGTGAAACAGATATTTAATTTCTGTCCTTCTCTCTATTTCTTAACCTAAGTTTGCCATAACTCCCTATTGTGAGGTAGGTACATAAAATGTTTGGTAATATCGGCTTAGAAATAAAAAAATCTGAATCTATTTCGAAAGTCTTGATGTTCTTGAATTTGCGGTTCTTTTAAATGCTTCAGAGTTCTTTAATAGCTAGTGAACAATACTCAATAATAACACCAGCTAGTCTGACAATACCCCATTTCTAAGATGCCGGCAAGGATTCTAATTATTATAAAACGTAAAATCAAAATGATTTCAAAAACCGTTGCGCATCGGTGATGTAGATGAAAACACCTGTCATAAGTAAATCGGGTACATAGACTCCGAATCCGATGTCAATGTAGTGCTTTGCTGAGCAGACTGCGGATATACAGTAGAACAAAAATATAATTTGCCATCGAGTATCAAGTAGTTCAAATGCTGGACCTCGAGCCAAGTAGAACAATAAGAAAATCAAGTCAAATCAAGAATTAACGTTTCAAGTAATTTTATTTTCAAGTTGTCATGTAACTTGTGACAATATTTAGCTACTTGACTTGATGAACCTCTATACTCAATGTGTGTGCTGAAGCTGTGATGTGGTGTAAGGTCTGCTTCAAGGCCTAACTGTAAATTCTATAGCCTGAGTAGTTGTGCTATTTGGCCATAGGTGGCGCTCACAGCGAGTACGCGTGGTGTAGTCTAGCGATGAGTTAGTATATACAGAGAAATCCATATACCACTGACGTCATGATGTGTACGAAAGAGAAGCGTGCAATGCTTATGTTAGAAAGAGATAGTAGCGACGAGACCACGAACGCAGCTGCGGCTTGACGTAAGTATTGCACACTTCCCGCGCTTCTTTCTCGTACACATTACCTCGTCAGTGATTTTTGGATTTCTCTGTATGTGTCAAGTTTGGCGATCAGATCGCTATGAGAGTGATCATTTTACAAAATACTGATAGCATATTATAAATAACTTCAAAAATACTTGAGCATATGCGATGTCGGTTGCGAGGGTTCCAAATCAGACGAAATTTGGTGCTGTATGACCTCAGACGGTTAATTTTTTACCCCACATGTGTCACTACGTCACTGTTTACACGTTCATTTTGAATTCACCGTCCTAAATTACCTAATTGTACTAAGAATCACTCGGATGTAGCCACCGATATTATTTAACTTTAAGCTAATTACCACGTATCGTAGTTGAAAAATTAATTTTTAATGATTAGGGTCAAAAAGTTTCACCTGAATATTTCCAATTTTTTCCTTTAATCTTAAAATCTTGTTGACTGATAGTTCTTCTAGTTCCTGGAACTTGCTCACCAACTGTTGATTCTCAGATTTCAACCTTGCGTTTTCTCTTTTAAGGTGTTTCTTGCTGACTCTCTCCGACCTAAAGTTAAAATATAAAGTTTTTGACGAGAGAACACTTTTAAATCCATAAAAGCATTGCATTTTTCCATGTTTACAAACAACAAACTTTGAAAATTATGACGAAGGTTGCCTTCAGGTGATTCGAAAAACTGAAATACGATGTATGAAAATTGTATAGACGACGGAACCTGAAGAATGTCTTCAAAAAATGTATATAATTGTTTTTTATTTCCTATGCCAAAACTGCATCACGTAAAACCGTCGGTCGGTTTTGTAATGGCAGTTCATTGGCAGCCGTAAGAGAATATCAAAGAAGATTTCCCAATCGCATAGTAACTGGACGTCGAATGTTTACTGATATTCACCGGAATTTGTCAAACCATGGAAGTTTTCAGCGCATGCAGGGCTCAGGAAGGCCACTGGGAAATCATCGTATGGATATTGCTTTAAATATGTTTGAAAATAATCCGCAAATAGGCATACGAAATGTTTCAGAAAATATGGATATACCTCGATCAATAGTAAGAAAAATTTATGAATACCTATTTGATAGTTATCCTAGAAATAATAATTTTAGATATGAAGAGGGACAAGAATGCAAGGATTACAACCTTATCATTTTAAACGGGTGCAGCATTTAACGGACGCAGATCTTTTACCACGAATCGAGTTTTGCCAGTGGATATTGGCAAATAGAAACACTATTCCTAGAATATTATGGTCGGATGAGTTAATATTTACTTGGAACGGTGCTTTTAATTTCCATAACAAGCATCACTGGTCAGATGAAAATCCAAAAGTTGTTCGCCGTACAAATTTCCAACATAGATTTTCATTGAACTTATGGGCAGGAGTAATTGGGGGATCAAGTAATTGGGCCTATTGTACTTCCCAATCGTGTTAATTCAGACGTGTATCTGACTTTCTTCAGAATGAGCTCATAGATATAATACCACTGGATGTGCGCCAGCAGTTTCAAGAAAATATGTTTTTTCAACATGATGACGCCCCTGCACATTTTGGACGCAATGTTCGAAATTGGTTGAATGTCAATTTTCCAGACAGGTGGTTAGGCCGAGGAGGTCCTATAGCGTGGCCGCCACGTTCACCTGACCTAAATCCATTGGATTTCTATTTTTGGGGGTCATTAAAAGACCTAGTTTCAGGCTGCAAATGAAATAAGAAGAATAAGGTTTTCTACTTTTCGGGCTATGCAATCGTTAGTTCGTCGAGCGAGACTCTGTATCCAACAAAATGGGAATTTATTTGAACACTTATTGTAAAGCTTGTTTTAAGTATATCCAACTGTATGTCTTCTTTTTTAAACAAATTTCAATTTCGTTCGTAGAAAAAATTTATTTCTTTTGTTTTTGCCTAAATGTTAGCTATGTTGCAATAGAAATATGTATTTATGTAATATTTACCAATTATTAAATTTTGGGGCTAAAATAACCTGAGTCCGTCCCTGTTACATACGCTTCCAAACAAAACTGTCTAAAATTGTTAACATTTTCAAATCCAGCATAACAAACTAGGCTAGAATACGAAATTTTATGTCTTTATCTCGACACGTTTCGGAAATATTAAGGAAAAACCATCTTCAGGGGAGACCCTTTAAAAGACCGTAACGCCCTTAGGGGACGTTTGTCGACCTATGTTTATATAAATTTTTCTCCCTATTTTAAGCTATAGAAAAAGCTGGTAGAATATTGCACACTTTTTTCGGGACACCCTGTATATGTATTCGCACTGAAGCACTAAAAAATATGGATCTTGCACGAACCGAAAGATAACTCGCTGCGGAGATGACGCGTAAATGTGGAAAGGGACAACGTTGCCACATGGTCAATAACTACCAGTAGAGCAGATTTCTCAGATGACGGTGTTGCGTAGAAAGTACAGATACTTGACGTTATTTTTTTTAGATAGGCTGCATAGCTTTAACAGAACCTCGGTCGTACCTCGTGTCGCTGTCTTGCAAATCTGGGGGTCGTTCTGCGTCTCCATGCTGCTGATTCTGGTAATATTTTGAATGAAAGTTGGCTGAAAAAGACTTCCTTGTAGGTTTGACAGGCGTCTCGTGCTTTCTTCTCCTAGGCTTGGGAGGAATATCTGCTGATGATGACATTTTGCTATTGTATGAAACTATTTTAGTGGAAGCATTTTATTGTCTTGGTGTTATATTCAGTCGTCACCACGGATGTCAGAAATATCTGAAATTGAAGGATATTTAAAATGTAACTGAATTCGGAGACTAGATATCGGTGTCTTAATAAATAGGTGTACAGATTTTATTATTTAAATAGACACAGATACTGTCAAATGTTTTTAATAATATGTAATACAGCTAAAATATATCTTGATACCTTAGAAAAAGAGGTAGTAGAAAAGAAGTACGTCCAGTATGGTTTAACACAGTATCAAAATTGAGTTCGGCGATTTACCGCTCTTTCAGGGCATGAAAATGCTATCTATTTATTTGTATATTTGGTTTATGGTCATGATGCTTCTAATGGTGATTATCAACATTAAATGTGATTGCAAGATAAACTTTACCGACCCACTCAGAGGTTGCTTTATCATCAGATTTGGGACCAGCGTATAAGAGCGTATTATTCCAAAGCTTTCATTAGTGGGCAAAGCTCAACTCGAACGAATACCAAAGTGCAAAAGTAGCTACATTGTTAAGTGTTTAGGTACATAATTTCCTGATTTTTTTGCTTGCGGTCAAGAGGCCGTAATGCATCTCGTACAAGCCCTTATAGAGCTGATCTCTCTGACCCCTTTGTTTACATGTATGTAAAGCATGAATAACGATCAATCACAATACACCTATTTCAAAACAAAGTAACGATATGTCCGTTAAGACTGCCTATGATCGATCAAATACACCCTAAAACATACCTGCAATCTGTCGGAAATTTACTCGTTAGGAATATTGACCTAACAAAGAAATTATTTAACATCTTGAAGTACGTATAAATCTGCACAAATGGAAATGCCAGAAATGCTGGTATGAAGTTTGAATAGTGTTTGGTTACCATGGTAACGCTTCGCGCGGTTATCAGTTTAAAATGTGTATCTTTCTATTATCCCTATGGTAACGAACGCTTTGCGCTTAAACAGAGGTGCCCTCTAGTAACTGAATAAAGCACCTGTCCTCAAATTCATTGCAGTCTGCAGTAATAAAGTGGAATTCTAGGTTTCCGCCATCTACTGTTAAGCCGTTGAAGCACTGCTATAAAGGTTTCTGTAGACGTTCGCGTAACGGAGTAACGGGTATTTCAGATATAGTGTCGCAAGGAGCTGTACAGATGCCGCTGTGTTCTCTACATTTAACCGAAGATTAACTTCCAACTTCCACTCACATACCCAATTTCAAATTCAGATAAACGTTTGTGGTTTACGCATCAACTTATCATAATACGTTATATAGGGTGTCCCGAAAAAAGTGTGCAATATTCTACCAGCGGTTTCTAGAGCTTAAAATAAGAAGAAAATTTTATATAAACATAGGTCGACAAACGTCCCCTAAGGGCGCTACGGTCGTTTAAAGGGGCTCCCCTGAAGATGGTTTTTCCTTAATATTTCCGAAACGTGTTGAGATAAAGACATAAAATTTGCTATTCTAGCCTAGTTTTTGATGCTGGATTTAAAAATATTAACAATTTTACACAGTTTTGTTTGGATGCGACTCAGGACGGACTCAGGTTATTTTAGCCCCAAAATTTTTGTGTGATTCTATTTTTGAAATTCTATTTTAGAATTTGAAAATTTAGGGTTTTCTACATAAAAAAGGTACTCTTATTGAATATCGATAAATTGTGTCATTTTTGAATAAAATCAAACTAAAGAATTTGTCACCTGATAGGAAATGTACTGCGAATTTAAATGAATTGCTGATTATACATAGTTAGCCATGACTGCAAACAAAAGTTGTTTTGATTTGTTATGACGAATTTTGACGTTAAGCTGACATTGTTAGCAGTGTAAAATTACTAGATTAAAATCAAAATTTTTATTGAATCGATTTAAAATGCCAAGATTTACAGACAGAGGACTGACTGACATGCATTTTGTGTACTGGTTTTGTAATGGCAGTTCATTGGCAGCCGTAAGAGGATATCAAAGAAGATTTCTCAATCGCATAGTACCTGGACGTCGAATGTTTACTAATACTCCGGAATTTGTCAAACTATGGAGGTTTTCAGCGCATGCAGGGCTCAGGAAGGGCACTGGGAAATCATGTTGCTTTAAATATGTTTGAGCTATACAGGGTGTCCCATAAATTAGCGGCAACATAACTTGTCTTTCAGAGCATTAACCACCAAATGTAAATAATGTGACCTAATGATTTAAAGGTCGGTAAGCAGGCCTGTATTCATGCTTGTTGTTGGCACATCATAATTATTACAGAGTTGTTATTTTTAATTATTGAGCAGAGATAAGTATAAAGTTTTTTGTTGTAGTAGTCGTTGTATGTTTTTAATTACATTTTTTAATCACTCAACGGCATATTTTAATTAATAGAAATTTTTTGTTTTAATATAATTGCACGAATGACGGATATTTTCCTAATAATTCCAAAATTCACTTCTAAAACATGGAATATCTCAGAAAATACTAGATTTGGGTATAGGCAATGCTTGATAAAACTGAAAGAGCACTACGAGGCGCGTTGAATAGAGTTATAACATACAGGGTGTTTGGTTTACATTTTTCGAGAAGATTACATCTTTCAGTTTTAACTCACCCTGTATGTCTCGAATGAACCATGTACAGAAAAGACGTTGTATATGAATGTCTACCACTGTTTCCATCACTCAGTGTAATTTTATCTAGAGGGTTGTTTAAGATACGTAAAGTCAAATGTATAATGATTTTAACGAAAAAGTGGCCATATGTATCGAAATACCACACATTGGCAGAATGGCCAAGAAAATGCGCGTCTAAAAAATCAACAGAAGTATAGAGTGCCCCATTCAAAAGTACAAGTTAATATTGCTACTAATTCATTTAAAGCTAAAAATAATTTTAGAATGTAGTCCTTTTAGCTCTGCCTTGAGGTTTATTTAACACACTATTTGGACACCTTGTATAATATGTAGTCTTGATATAGGATTGTACATATCGTGGAACGTACATCTTCATGGGGATTCTTTTTCAGTACTAATCGATTGGTGGAAAATCGATATATGAAGAAAACAGATTTTCTGGAAAAATCGATGTTTCCTATTAGCCGATAAGCGGCAAGCTTTTCTAGATATCAATAATACAATTAAGAGAATAACATACACTAACAATCTATGAGGATAAAAATCGAATAAGATGATAACGGCAGCTTTCTGGTTTAAAAACAAAAAAAAAACAGTTAGGTACAAATGTTTTTCGGTTAAAACATCATATCAGAGACAAAGTGAAATGGAAATATACTCTGAGTACGAAACTTTGTTTTGAACTTTAAAATAAAAAGAAATAATAGCACAAACGTTCAGTCTTATAAAAACAAAATCACAACTAATGATCTCGAAACTAAAATACTAAATTTTAAGTTTACACCATATGAAACTAAAAAGACTTATTGCCATAAATCTTCAGTTAGGGAGCTTAGAAATGATAATGCTAGTAATATTTTCCCTAAAATAAGGTGTCGAGCTGTACTTACTATATATCCCGCTTTTTAAAATGATTTTTTTTTGGCTGTCGCGGAAATTGCTATCGCAGAAAGGTTCTTTAAAGCAAATTTCGTTAGCTGTTCCTTCAGTGGTCCCAAAAAAAAGGAAATCGTTCAAAAAGGTATGAAACTGTTTTAAACACACAGATGACATCGTCTTCCATCGACTTTATCTCGTAAGTTAATTTTAGTTTTTCTATCTGAGGTATAGATGGCACTTGTTACAAAAATCGATCAAAACGTATCATTTGTATAATCGATTTATGAAAAATCGATTATTATGATTAAGAATATCGATTGTAAGGAAAAAACAATCGATAAAACGAGTATTTTTTAAGATCCCTAGGTGCTGCAGTTACACCATCGGCACTGCCTCGAATGCATTTGTTCGAGTATAATTGCCTTTTGAAGTATAACCGCAAAACGCTCAATTCTTTATAGCACACAATATATTTTGAGAGGTGGAACCCAGATAGCAGACATACATCTATTAGATGTCTATCAATGGTGGATATAGATATCCAGGATATCCACTGGATGGAAAGGTATAAGTATTCATTGGGTATCTAGTGGATATCCAGAAGTCCGTTTATACACGTATATCTAGAATCTCAATATGGGTGAATATACGATATTTGGGTTTTCATTGACAACTAACAAACCCTCCCCTCCTCCTCCTCGTAATAACGTATGCCCTAAAAGTTTTGGCACAAAATTTTTACAAACACAAAATAATATCAAGTTGTTTAGTTACTTTACTGTCAGTTCGCATTTATTTATTTTGAAGTTTTCACTTTAAGATGTACAAATAAGAAATCAGAAAAAGTATCTAGAAGTTGCTTGAGCGGTTACCCAAAGCTGAAATCTGTCGAAAACGAGTGGAAAAAGTGGAGGACCGCGTGCATTGTACGAATTCAGGAGAGACGGTCTTAAATATCGAAAGAGACTTAAGTGCCCCAAATACTCTCAAGCGCAACTCCTTCGTATACCAAGATGCTGTTGTCAACTGAGGCTGGTACACTTTGCCAATGGAAATATCATTATTTTAGATGACGAAAAGTAATAATAATAATGTCTTTATTCCGAAAATGATCATAGTATGGCGAAGTTTAGCCATGGCTACTCTACCACTCAACCATACTACAATCAGACATCACAAAACATTAGCATAACAACATGAATCAGTAGCTGTAAGGAATGCATTAAAAAGGAGTAAATATATAATACGAACATATACAAAGAAGAGAAACAATAGAACAAGATATCGTTCAGCAAAATGAATTTATCACTCAATGTGCATCCAGAAAGTGCCACTGTCTTCTTGAAGTGCTGCAAACTTAAGCTCTTAGCTAATAGCTGGTAAAGAATTGTATACCTTGACCGACATACGACGTATATGAATGGGAAGTAGATCATTGTGCCACTGATTTAGAGTAATTTGGTTTCCACGAGGAATCAACTTACCGAGTAAATAGACGGGTTTACCAGTTTTAAAAATTCTATGCACCAATGAAGAGATGGAATAGTTGTATAAGCCATCAACTCTGAGCACCTGTAACTCCTTGATTTTTGAAGGAACGCTACTGTACTTCCTAAGACCAAATATGAATCTGCAACAGTTGTTCTGAAGCCTCTGCAATTTTGACTTGCAAACTGAGTCTAGGCATGGGTAAATGAGGACTAGAGAGTAAGCTAAAATAGATAATATGAGGCTTTCACACAACTTTTTACGGCACTTAAAGTTTATAATATGGCGACTAGAATATAAAAACTTCATCTTCATATAACTTGACTTCATAATACTATTCACATGTAAGTTAAATCTAAAGCAACATTGCAATGAGCATCACCACAAACCGACCACGTCGTGCAACCACATCGCGCAACAAAATGAAGATCCAATTTTGATGTTTGTCGTTGAGTGAAAGACGAATACTAACTGAAATGGATATAGCAGTAGCAGCAGCTGCCTATATCTATATTCACTATGAATTATCCAAAAACAATAGACCAGCACACGGTTGCAACAATTTGATAACGGAATTGCCATTATCCGTTTACATAAGCCAGCTGTTGTTCCCACTGTGGCCGCTATCTGCTCCCAGGCATCATTTCTTTTAAGTTATTGTAATGCTCTTTAATGCTCTATAAGCAAAAGAGTTTTCTCCTCCGACCATTCCATGTTTTCTTCACGGGGTCTCTCCATTTACAGAGATGAGCGCGTGCTCGCCGCACCGGTATGCCTGTCCAAACATGTGCAACTTTGTCGCGAGCCATTCGTTTGATGTTGCGCTGAAAAACCGACATAGCCTGGATCGGGCCGAACGGCGAGCTGTAAAGCTAATTAGGTTCGCGACGGCGTTCTTTTCACCATCTACACTAGCGCG